CCCTTAAACGTCCGTTGTGGAGGGGGCTAGACGTCTATAATATTATAGATGTCTGGTCCCCCATATCGGACGTTTCGGGTGCTGACAGGGTGGTTGAAGAATTAATTGTCTTGAGCCCCTGAAACGTTCGTTGTGGAGGGGGCCGGACGTCTATAATATTATAGACGTCCGGCCCCCCATATTGGACGTTTCGGGTGTTGACAGGGTGGTTGAAGAATTAATTGTCTTCATCCCCTTAAACGACCGTTGTGGAGGGGGACAGACGTCTATAATATCATAGACGTCCAGCTCCCCATATCGAACGTTTCGGGTGTTGATAGGGTGGTTGAAGAATTAATTGTCTTCAGCCCCTTACACGTCCGTTGTGGAGGGGGACGGACGTCTATAATATTATAGACGTCCGGCCCCATCCACAACGGACGTTTAAGGGGCTGATAGAGGGGAGTTGAAGAGGTAATTGTTCCAGCCTCTTAGACGTCCGGGGTGGGGGGGACGGAAGTCTATAAAATTATAGACGTTCGGGCCCCTCCCACGGACGTCTAAAACCCCCGCGAATATCAATTTTAAATCCCCAAAGACGTCATATTAGTGATGCCCCGACGTCTATAGGATTATAAATGTCGGGGCCCCATAGTACCGGACTCTAATAGTATTTATACTAAACGCGAACCGCGAGCAGTTACTCGCTCCTATTCATCGTCTTCCGCGCGAACGCTCTCGGTGGCATTTGCATTTCCAGTGTGTTTTCTCTCTTTTGGACCGTTTAAATTTACTTTCAATCCGATTACATTGCTCTGTGATGAAATATCTTTGATTTGAACCGATTAAAAATTGTTTTTGGTGTAGTTTGTTGTGGTATCTTGGGCGGCTTTTTGGACTGTTTTTGGCCTACGTTTTTGGCCGTGCCCTCCTCGATTTCCCTCCCTTTCATTTGGAATCTACTTTTCAAGTTAGCTTGTTCGTTGATAAAGGTTTTTTGTATGCATGTTATGGTTTTTGTGTATGCATGTTTTTTACTCTAAGGTATGCATGTGTTATTGGCTTTTGAATTGCATGTATTAGTTGTGTTATTATAATTGTGATATGTTAATGTAAGTATCAAATCATTGAGTGACACTTAGTTCCTGTTTGAAATTTAACACAAATGATTAATCTTTTAATCGTTTGTGTTAAATTTTAATTGTCCGATTGGACAGTTTGAGAAAATTAATTTTCATAATTTGCAAAACATGTCAATTGGAGTTTATGGATAAGATTGATAAAATTTTGGTTCAGTATTTTTGTTGTTCTCCGCGGATCATATTTGATTGTGGTCATCGTTGACTACCTCTCATTTCGTGTATTTCGAGACCAATGCGAAATGCTTGCTGAAATCTTATCAATTTTATCATGTAGACTTCTTTGCACGTGTCTTAGCAAATTATGAAAATTAATTTTTTTGAATGGGTAGGGCCTAACCTTGTGAAAGTTAAAAAACTTATACTGATGATTTTACGAACATAGTATGGATCGAAGCTGGATGAATGAACGTCGCATCCGTGAAGAATATGATAAGGGTGTTTCGGAGTTCTTGCAACTTAACTTTGTTGTTTTAGGTACAATGGACACAATCGTTGTAGACCAAGGTCGGTCTTCCATGTACGTGTTTGTTGAACCTCAGATCATTCAACCATCTGGTAAACACACTTCAAAACAGACAACATTATTTGCAAACTATGGATGGATGAGTCAAAAAGAGACTATACCTTGTGCCATACATTGATGGGTAGGTGTTGTTTTATATGTGGCCAGTTCATTATTTATTTTCCTAATTAGTTTAAATAACTATTTATCCTTTATGATAGCATGCACTGGCAGCTGATGGTCATCATTCCCAAAGTATGTAAAATTACATGTTTTGGTTCGTTGCATAGGAGATGAAAAATGACTTGAGAACAATGCTTTAAGGGTAAGTGTTTCTCCAAAAAATGACTTTGAATTGATTGTCACCTTCAACTTTTATGATAAATATAGTCCATTATTATACTTTGTGTTTTCAATCTGTACAGAGTTATTGGTAAATCACGTGGTCAACTGGTTCAAATTTTGTATCCAAAGGTTTTAAGTCATTTAAGTTCTATTCATTTTCTATGTTATTGAATGATCTAAATTCTTAACTATTTAGTTTGTTATTTTAGTGTAACTACCAGCTAGATTCATGGGAATGTGGCTTCTATGTGATGGTTGGATTAAGACCATCATTTGAGCTGTCATTACAAATGACTGGAATGAGGTAATGATGTATACATTGAATTACAAATCAAATTCATCTTCAAACATATATGAAACCATAATGAATCTTTCTAGAATTTTTGCAGCAGCGCTTCAAAGTACATCTCCTATTCCAACAGAGGACACATTAAACAGATAAGCAGGAGTGGACCGCTTATCTTCTTCAAAGATGAGTTAGGAATAGTTTTATTTGTTGTTGAACATTGCTTAGTTTTAGTTTAGTTTTATCTTGATAGTTTTTGGTAGTGGATTATATTTTACATTAAGTAGAACTTTGTTTATATGAACACAATATATATATTATTGCAAAATTGTTCTAGGACAATTTTCTGCTTTTCAGGTGGGGGATTGCAAAATAAATTAATTTTAAAAAAATACGCCCAGTAGACGTCGGTTAGTGCACTGTCAGACGCAAAAGGCCAAAAGAACGGACGTCTACAGTCCTTTCTGCACTAGTGAAAGCATGAATGACTTTGCCCAGGTTTTCATGTTGAATTATTTCTTGTTTGCATCAATGATCAAGGCCATTTGTTGGTAACCCTTTTGTTAGCCAAAGGTATGATTTTAACCCAATCAAAAGAGACCACTTATGTGTTCTATCCTTTGAACCCGTACCCTTGACCAAGATAGAAATCCCTCTTTAAAAAGCTTTATACCCTTGAGTTATGTTGAAAACATTTTGTGGTATTGATAAATGTTCAAGTTTGGGGTTGTTTGGGAAGTTTAAGAAGGGAACATAAAAAAGCTTGAGCTAAAAGTTAAGCATGTGAAAGCAAAATAACAAGGAAAGAAAAGCTCAATCAAAAGAAAGTTGGGAATAATTAAGAATGGTTGTGGTTTAGATGATTCTCTTAACTCAAGGGTTTTGTGAAACTCAGAAAAACCAATTTTCTTGTTATGCCACCCATTATAAGCCATAGAGAAGTGCCTGTGATGATGTTTGCTTGTGTTTTTTTGATTGTGGTTAAATGAAGCAAAGTAATTCATGTGACATTGTGATAGTAGAGTGGACGAGTGATCCTCTTATACACTTTTGTGTTTAAGTGAAACACTTTTATCTAGTGGGAAGATTCATGAACACTATTATGAAAATCTTATGCTTATTGATTGGTCATTCATTGAAAATAACATTGTTGGATATTATGTGATTGAGTGCACACCTAAAGCATGTGCACCATCTTGCTTGAAGTCTTTTGTTGAAGAGCTTAATTTGAGTATTTACTTGTCCTGAAGAAGACAATTTTGAATATGGTGAACCATTGTATGGATTGGTAAAAATTGATCTACTTTGTTTGCTTGAGGACACGCAAGTTCTACTAGTTTGGGGTTGTGCTAACAGTTGAAAAACTGTTATTTTTATACTTAAAATTGATATCATAAACAACCTTTATGACTTAAAACTAGCTTGGAATCATGCTTTTGCTTATGTTTTTGGAAATAAGAGAGTTGACATGTTTTATAAAGCTTGATTTCCATTTCCTGTTTTTGCAGATTTTAAGGTGAATTTGATGAAATAAGAGAAGTAGAGAAGAGATGGATCAGAAAAGGACACAAAAAGTGCACAAGAAGAGAAGAACCAAGTGCCGCTCAACGAACTTACCGCTGAGCGTGTGTTCTTCAGACTCGTTGACACCGCTGAGGGACAGAACTACCTGCAGCTGATGGGGGGAATAGAAATGACATGCAATTACCGTGAGGCGCATTCTGATGGGCTAAGCATAACTTTCTATAATTTTTAGAATACTAATATAAGGTTTTAGGTTAACCTAGGTCAGTCATCTTTGGCTGGGACGAAGCAGAACACACTCTTCATCACACCTTGGAGAGATTTTGGATGCACAAACTCCTTTTCTCACCTTTCTACGGGTTTTAATCTTTCATCTTTCATTGTATTTACCTAGTTTCACCATGAATATGGTGAACTAAAACCTTATTTTTGTTGGGGAATCAATGTAATCCTTTGAAACTCTCATGTATTGAATTTGTTCTCAGATCTTTTCAAGATACATGCTTTCTTTCATTAATGTTAGAGTTTTTCCTCTTTGCTCAAAGCATACATTGTTTAACTCATTTGATGTCATGATTATTGATTTTGTCGATATGGACACATACGGGAAAATCTAGATTTGGGGAATCTCTCCCCATAGTAGTATAAACCTATATAGGGAGGTAATGATGGTTTGGTTGCCTTTAAGCTTCTGTGCTGTGTAATGCATGAGTAATTGATAGGGAGACAAGACATTGTAAACTAGTAATTATGATTAGGCTTTTTTCGCCGAGACATCAGGTTTAAGATAATTTAGAAAGTGACATTAGCAATTAATAAAGAAAATGAATTCTTGATTACATGAGAGTGGAATAGGATGAAATTGATAAACCCCAACAACATATTCATTCATATATTTCAATCACGTTTCTGTTTCTTCTTGCCCATTGGACAATACATGCATTCATATTTACTTTTCAGTATTTTGCATTTAAAACTTACAAGAATTGGTTCTACAAGTCTTAGATAATCAATAAATCTCATAACTGTCTAGGCCTAAATTTTTTGAAAGAACTATACTTGATCTTACCAGTTTTATTATTTGATACGATTCGGTTACTCTCTATAAAAGGATTTTTCAAAATTTTCTACTGTGTAGAAACATATTTAAATTTAATTATAGTTATTATAAAATTAAATTAGTATTACTTTGAAAGTCGTTACAAATCCATTCAATCAACCTTCACATGTTCTGAAGCTCAAAACTTCTCAACCTCCTCCTAAGCCATTGCATTGCAGTTCGTTCCCAACACCGCACTCTGCACAATCCCATTCCAAAGCGCCACTGCTTTCTCCGAGCAACAACCGTCAATGAGTTTCCCAAAAAGCCCTCGCCATTCTTCTCCTTATTCTCCCTCCTCCCCTTCCTCTCCTCCTTCCTACATTCCACCCCACCGTACCCAGCTGCACCCTCGCATGATCTCCCTCTATACTTCTTCTTCCAGTCACACAAATCCAAATCCCAACAAACCCCACACCGGAAAATGCCTTCTCTTCCTCTTCGCCTTCCTCTTCTTCACCGCTCCCTTTCTCTTCTACCTCTTCTCCACCGCCCTCCAAATCCACTCCTCCCCCAAATTCGCCGATTCTCGCCCTGTCTCCTTCGCCCTCGCTTTCCGCGCCGGCCCCGACGCTCTCCGCCTCTCCGTCTACCACTTTCTTGGCCCCGGCCTCGGCCTCCTCGCCGCCGCTCATTCCGCCGCCGCCGCTCCCGGCTTCGCTGCCCCGCCCGACGCGCTCCGTGGCGCCGTCGCCGAGCTTGTCCGGTTCGCTAAGGGCAAGGTGCCTCGCCGGGAGTGGGGGAACACCGTCGTGCGGCTTGCGGCCTCCGAGGAGCTCGAGCAGCTCGGCTCCGAGGAAGCAGAGAAGGTTCTGGAATGTTGCAGACAGGCCTTAAAGGCGTCCGGGTTCTTGTTCAAGGATGAATGGGCACGCGTCGTTTCAGGTTAGTTTGGGTTTGGTTCGATGTATTTGAGAAAATATAAAGCAAGGAGTTGGACAGTTAATGTAGTGAATCCAAGGTCGATTTGTTTGGACATTGTATGAGTTTAGTCCTTGGTGAAAACAATCCTTAACAAAGTTTTACTTCCTTTTGGGCTTTACATATTAGTATGTTCCAAAACCGTGGGACATTGGTGGACATGTCCATGAACTAAAGAAAGGTGAGAATTTAATTAGAAGGCACTAACGATGCAGTTCTAGTGTATACACACACACATTGATCACAAATTGCTAATATTTAAGGTGCCTATAATATATAAGGTAAGGTGTGCTTGACTGGCTTCTATAATATATAATTTCTATGGGCTGAAATATATGAGAAATATAATCATGTTCAGTGAGCTTTGAATAAACAAATTTTAAATAAGTCAAACTTATTTAATGTTATTATTTCAAAGATACCATTGTGGTTAAATATGGACACTATCCCCGATAAAATGTGATAAGGGTGATTTGGAATGTGATTTTATGAGATCAATAACATTAAGTGAACTTAAATAACATTCTTAATTAGGGTAAAATTAGGTAATTTTGCTAATATTTGAGTGTAGTAATTTATAAGTAATAAATAAATAGCATTTTTGTTTGCTTGAGTGTAAAATTCTTTATATTAACTCAAGAGTGTTTGTTTGGTTATGGGCATGCATAGTCTTAGGTTAGTCAATTAGTTGGGGATTGGTTCAACTTTTATACTATATACTTAGGCGCCTTAGGTAAAGATACCTTTTGATTGGTTGGGAGTGTAAATTCCAAATTCTAACAGTGCATTGAGATTGAACACTAAAGCCTGTGTTTGGGGTTGAACGTGTAATTTCAGGTTAGTCACCTAGAAGGGGTTTGGTTCAACGTATTAGAGAGAACATTGATATCTTTTTGAAAAGGGAGCAACTGTTTCTAAAAATTAGGTGAAGAATTTATTTAGAATGCTTTAGAGAGTGCCATGTATGATAGGCATGGTGAGTTTGCTGATTTTTATAATTTCTATTTTAGAAGTCATACATACGGTCATCTCTGGTTGGCAGTTGCACTTACTATACAATTAAACTCTAAAGTGAAAGCAATATTTTTGTTTATGCGTGTGATTTTTGTTAGGATCCCCTTTCGGAATTGAAAATGTCAAAGCCTAACAAGAAACAACAATTAACACAGAAAACTCATTACAATTATATTTCCTCTCTATTACTGAAAACTCATTACATACCAAGAACCAAGGTATACAAATACCCCTCTAAAGGAGAGTACTGCTTTCCACTGGAATCTGCCCAGTTCTTCAATGATATTTCCCTGAGTTGTCCTCTCTACCTGAGGGAGGTTTACCATTGTGGTTAAACATGGACACTACTTATAAGGAAAACTGAACTAACTCTCCTAACCTCCTCTTAAATTGTTACCCTTTTACTCCTTTTTTTCCTCCTACAATACAACTTTTAGACCCTTTTCCCTTATAAGTTTTTGCTCTGGTTTGGTCCTAACATACCTCCTCATAAACAAACTTGTCCTCAAGGTTAAATTCCGGAAATTGCTCTTAGATAATGGAAGATTCTTCCTAAGTAGCTTTCTGTGGAGATTTTCCTTGCTGATGCACAAGAACTTGATGAATTGTTGCACATGCTGAATAATTTCCGGATTGCCTAAGATGTTTTAAAGTTGGTATCCTTCTTCTGTACCTGTTAGGTTACTTTATAGCGATAACCTAATCTATTCCCTCTTCTCACCTCAAAACTCGATTAACAGAAGATAAATGTATGAGTATGTATTTTATTAACTCTGTAAACTATGGAAAAATTATAACTACAAGTAAGTATCCCAAGGAAGCCTCCCTTCCTCCACTGGCAAGAATGTCTAGTCTTTACCCAAAAGATAATAACCTCCCTGAATTAGGTTACAGGAAGACTATTTATAGTGTCGCCTTCCTGCGCCCTACCCTTCTGCTAACCCAAATTACTTCTACTACATACCGTTCGGTACTAGCGTATAACTACCGTTCGGTCTTTGATCCCATCCTCCCTTCTTGATGCCGTTCGGTCTATACTCCCCCATGGCCTTACCGTTCAGCCTCTACTTCTCATGCTCTCTTCTTGATGACGTTAGGTCTATGCTCCCACCATTGCCTTACCGTTCGGCCTAGCTTCCCCTCTCTTACTTCGTTCGGCCTCGCTTCCTCCCTTTCGTTCTGTTCGGCCTCACTTCCCCTTTGCTTTACCGTTCGACATTATGCTACTTCTCTCTTTTATTCCTAACAGTACCCTACAACTCATAGAAGGTCTATGCCCACAAGATGCTATCCAACTGTTGTCTTGAGCTGGGAAACCTGAAAAACAAGGTAAATTCAGTCTTGTTTTAGAAGCTGCAGTTTAAAAGCTACTGCTCCTATTTTGTTTTAGAGTTGTCTTCTTTCTCTTCCTTAAGCTTTTAATGTAAGCAACTAATGCTTATATGTGTCTGTATATGTTAGGAAACCAGAATTGGACCGATAAAGAAGAGTAATATTCTGTATGGTATAGACTGAAAAGAAGACAAAAATAGGAGAGCATTCTCTCTTCCAAGGGTTTCCCCTTCACACAGGATGGTAATGATCCTGTCAACAATTCTCTAAACAACCCGAAAACATTTCCTGCCTACAAAGACCCCCCATTATATAAAGAAAAACTCACTCAACCTAACCACCCAACTAACAACTAATTCCTAATCTGTTTCCTTCTATCCTGCACACATTATATCCTATCAGTATATGAATCTGAATTAGTGGTGAGATTTGATCTCTCTAGCCCTTTTCCTCATATATTCTCTTTTAAGTGTTATAAATAAAATAATTCTTTATTTTCTTTCATAGTTCAAGTTGGTACCTAACTCCCTATATTGGGAGCCTAGTGTGTGTGTTAGGTTCCTAGATAGAGCAACCCAAGAACACCAATGCGAGACACCTAAACTCACTGTAAAGATCTTGTATTATTGATTCTAGGCACCAAGAACAACAAGAATGCCTACAAGGGACAATGTTCCCTTCACACAGGATGCAATGATCTTGTCAACAATCTCTAAAACATCCAAAAACATACCCTGCCTACAAAGATCCCCCCACACTATATAAAAAAAGTCTCACTCAACCTAACAACCCAACTAACAACTAATTTTTAGTCTGTTTCCTCCTCTCATACACATTATATCCTATCATTACACATTGCTGTAGAACAACCTTGTCCTCAAGGTTGGAACAGTGAAGCTTGATCCCATGGCTCATCCATCAACATGTTAGCATAGGAAGATAATCAACTGGCTACTGCCTGCCAATTCAGGTCTGGAGGCTTGGGTGGTGGTCGATATGAGAGAATTGTTGACTCCTTCATTCCATTAATGATAAGAATTGTTTCAAACCACTTCTTGCACGACTCAAAAATGCTGTAGCATATTTTCGCGACAACTTTCGTTTTCTCATTTCTACTTCTAGATCTTCCAGAATTATTTGGCCATCCCCATCCTTATCCAACTCCTCGAAGTACCTCCTCCCTTCAGCCTTTGGGTATCTAAACAAATTTTGCATTGAAATGAGTTTCTTCTTATCAGGATGGTCTTTAGAAGTTTTTCCTAGATGTGGTAACAGTTCAACCAGTTCTGTCAATGAAACTTCGGGTTTCTTGCAAAAACTCGGCTTATCTTCATCACACACTTTATGACACTTCTTCTTCACCTCCCAGATCTGAAATTCACTACATTCCCTCAGTGAGGCAATCAAACAAACACCCTTGACCTTGTTCTTTGGCCTTGCCAAACAATGCTCAAGATCCTTTGCCGCCTTCCAAAAACCTTCTTCATCTGGTTTACTACTCTATGGATATCTTCTTCCTTCTTCTCTTCATCATTAGCCAAGTACTCTCCTTTTCAGAGAATTTCTTGCCTTTCTTGATGTTTTGCATACTATCTTTCTAGCATCCATACCCGTCTTTACCTCTTTCTTTCCTTTCATGACAAATTTCTCACTTTCTTCTGAGCCCCTTCCCTGATTTATGAGTTGCTGCATGGCTTTCATTTCTTGGATGATTTCCGTTATCTCTTGCACACTGTCTTTTTTTTTTTTTCCTGTCATGGCGCTTCCTTGTTTGCTGGCCCCTTTCTCCAAAGTATTTTCTCTTTCTTCCATCACTTCCTCAACCTCGTCCTTTCTTTCCCTTCTTTCCCCATTAATCGACCCCTGACTACCTTATGATCCTTTGTCCAGGTTCTTGATTTTTCACATCATATCTTTCATCAATTCTCTAAGTTCCTGGTAGTTGGCTCTGGATTCCTCTCTTGAATCCTTTATTGCTCGGCCATGTTGGCTGGCTAATCTCTCTATTGTACTCAATCTTCCTTCCATGTCTCTCCATTTTGATCCTGCAGGTCGGACCAATTTGTTAGGTTCCTAGATAGAGGTACCCAAGAAAACCATTGCAAAACACTGCAAAACACTTGAACTCACAGTGAAGATCTTGTATTATTGATTCTAGGCACCAAGAACAGCAAGAATGCCTTCAAGGGATAATGTTCCCTTCATAGAGGATGCCAATGATCCTGTCAACAATTCTCTAAAACATCTAAAAACATACCCTGCCTACAAAGACCCCGCCCCCCACTATATAAAGAAAGTCTCACTCAACCCAACTAACAACTAATTTTTAATCTATTTCCTCCTCTCATACACATTATATCCTATGAGTGTGATGAGGAAGTACTAGACATCTCAAATAGAGTGTGTAATGAGGAAGTACAAAGACATCTCAAATTGAGCTTATGTCCCCTAACCTAGAGCTAGGTACTCCCAAAAACAACTGAAGTGATTCTAGGTCTTGTCAAGGTCTTAGTAGAATGTCTACAAGTTGGTTGTTAAAGCTGACAAATCCAGTACATAGTTCCTTGGACAACAAGTTCTCCTTCATAAAATGACAGTGAACCTCCATGTGTTTGTTCCTTTTGTGAAACACAAGATTAGAAGCAATATGATTGCCTAATTATCATAATACGACTTCATTTGCTGAACATCAAAAAATTCAGCTCTTGAAGAAGTTGTTTAACCCACAAAAGTTCACAAGTGGCTAGAGCCATAGATCTATATTCAACTTCTACAATGGATTGAGCAACAACATTTTTGTTTCTTGCTCTCCCTATGACGGATCTTTTGTTAACATGATAACATGTTTAGTTTGCATCACAATACCCTATAATTTAAGTATTGTCTTTGTCCTCGTACAATATTGCTTGTCCCGGAACCTTTTTGATATATCTAAGAATGCAAATTACAACATTCTAGTGATCAATATGAGGATTCTATATGAATTGACTAACAACTCCCACAACATAAAATATGTCAGGTCCTGTAATAGTGAGATAAATGAGTTTTCCAATCAACCTCTTGTATCCTTTTGGATTTAAGAAAGTGTCACCTTGGTCCACCATGAGCTTTTTGATTTGGATTCATGGGACTATTAGTTGGCTTGCAATTTTCCAACCCGGTCTCCTCTAGAATGTGAAGAGCATATTTTCTTTGTGAAATGACAAGACCTTCCTTTGATTGACCCCTTCAAAACCCATAAATTACTTCAGAAAAGATCTTTAGTTCGAAAGTAATTGAAGTGATTTTCATTAATAAAATAATTCTTTACTTTGTTACGTAGTTCAAGTTTTATGATTTTGGTGAGGTTGTGAATATTCATATGATGTCTTTAGGTAAGTGTTAAATAGTGGAATTATAATCTTGTAGCTTAAGGAGAAGGGATTCTAGTGGAATGAAAGGTTTCTTTGGTCAAGAAATCTAACACTTCACGACACTCACTCACACGGAAGCACGAAAACACCCCCCCCCCACAACGGACATCTAGAGTTTCACTTATTTACGGATATGCCACTGGTCAATTATTTACGTTGGGGCTGTTATGGACGGACGTCTACGGGTGACGTTAAAGGTCATTTCTGCACTAGTGTTTCAGAGTAATAGCATTCAATCTTAACAACTCTAGAGCTCAAAATCTCACATATAAGCTCATTCACATTCCACATACACATCCTGCATAGCATCATAATCATAATCACAATATCATGCATTTGTTCACAATGCTTGTGAACCACCTGTATAAGCATATAATGTGCACATTCTCGACATCAATCAAGATCAAAACATCATCAAGCATTACTTATCACACAACAGTCGTAAGCAAACCATCATAACAGATAAAGTTTCAAATTAAGTACATCAACCCTATTCTAAAAACAGAAGCAAATAAGTTAACGAATTTAAAACACTAGGTTGCCTCCCAGGTAGCGCTTGTTTAACGTCACGAGCCTGACCCAAAATTCTCCAACACCCATCAATAAGTGCAAGCAAACCTAGTATCCTTCAGTAGATACTCCTCCACACAACGTCCTTCAGTAAATGTAATCCTTTTAAACAGTTTATAACTAAAACAAGAATAACAAAAGTTCATAATTACATCACCAAACCAAAAACAAAAGTTCTCAAATCACTGGGTTGCCTCCCAACAAGTGCTCTTTTAACGTCACTAGCTTGACCCAATACAGTTCAAGGATCAGCCAACTTCATCACTATGGACAATCGCTCTACTTCTCCTCCTAGATAATGCTTGAGACGTTGAGCATTCACCACCCAGCTTCTTTGTTGATCATTAGCAACTGGATCAACTAATTCCATTGCTCCATGTGGACGCACACTCTTTACTATGAATGGCCCAGACCATTTTGACTTCAACTTTCCAAGAAATAGCTTCAGTCTTGAATTGAACAATAGCACCTGTTGCCCTGGATTAAAAATCTTCTTTATTAACTTCTTGTCATGATAGAATTTTAGCTTTTGGATTAATCATATGCATGCAACCGCATCTCTTCAAGCTCTAGCATCTGCCTTCTACGCTTATTTTGAGTTTCAAAAGGATCCAAATTCAAAAATATAAGTGCCCATAAAGCTTTATGCTCCATCTCCACTGGTAAATGACATGCTTTCCCATAGACTAGCTGATAAGGTGATAAACCCATAGATGTCTTCATTGCAGTCCTGTATGCCTAGAGAGCATCATCAAGTTTCTGTGACCAGTCCTTTCTTGACGTAGCAACTGTTTTCTCCAAGATCCGCTTGATCTCTCTGTTAGACACTTCAGCTTGCCCATTAGTCTGTGGATGATAAGGTGCAACTACCTTATGTCTCACAGCATAATGTTTGAGTACCTTGGCTAGCTGGTAATTGCAAAAATGAGATCCTCCATCACTAATAAGTACTCTAGGAGTTCCAAAGCGTGAAAAGATTTATCTCTTTAGAAATTTAATCACAGTGCTTGCATCATTTTTAGGACACGTCAATGCTTCTACCCATTTGCTCACATAGTCTACTGCCACCAAAATGTATTTATTGTTGAAAGATGGTGGAAATGGTCCTACAAAATCAATGCCCCAACAATCAAAGATTTCAACCTCTAAAATGCCCTATAATGGCATCTCATGACGTCTTGAAATAGTTCCAGTTCTTTGACACCTATCACAATTCCTGGCATGATTATGAGCATCTTTAAATAAAGTAGGCCAATAAAAACCTGACTAGAGAACTTTTGTTGTTGTTCTTTCTCCATTGAAATGTCCTCCATAGGGTGAGTCATGACAATGCTAGAGAATTCTTTCAGCTTCTTCATTTGTCACACATCGCCTCAAAAGATTATCTGCTCCAATTTTGAACAAATAAGGGTCATTCCAAATAAACTGCTTGGCATCATGCAAAAATTTCTCTCTTTATTGCCAATTAAGATCTTCTGGAATTACTCTTGCAGCTTTAAAATTGGCCATATCAGCAAACCACGACCTCTTTTGAATATACATGAGTGTTTCATCCGAAAAAGATTCCTAGATTTCTAGTTCCTTACCAGTAACCTCAGTATTAACTAACCGAGATAAATGATCAGCAATCAAATTCTCACTCCCCTTCTTATCACAGATCTCTACATCAAACTCTTGCAATAACAGTACCCATCTAATCAGTCGTGGCTTAGAATCTGACTTTGTCAACAAATATTTTATGGCTTCATGATCTATGTAGATAATCACCTTAGACTCAATGAGATAAGGTCTAAATTTCTCCAAAGCATAAACTATAGCTAGAAACTCCTTTTCAGTAGTAGCATAATTCAACTGGGCATCATTCAACACTTTGCTAGCATAATAGATGTTGTGAAATACCTTCTCTTTTCTCTGACCAAGGACGACTCCTATTGAATAATCACTAGCATCACACATTAGTTCAAAATTATGATTCCAATATGGAGCTACAATCACTGAAGCCGAAATCAATTTGCTTTTCAATATGTCAAAAGCTTTTAAACATTCATCATTCATCACAAAAGGTACATCTTTAACCAGTAAATTACTCGATGGCTTTGCAATTTTTGAAAAGTCTTTAATAAATCTTCTATAGAATCCTGCATGACCTAAAAAGCTTCTGATTCCTTTCACATTTGTTGGTGGAGGAAGTTTCTCAATAACCTCTACTTTGGCTTTATCTACTTCAATCCCCTTAGAAGAAATCTTATGCCCTAACACAATTCCTTCTATTACCATGAAATGACATTTTTCCCAATTAAGTACCAGATTAGTCTGAACACATCTTTTGAGGACAATATCCAGATTCGCCAAGCACCTTTGGAAGGAATCTCCAAAAATTGAGAAATCATCCATGAAGACTTCAATGCATTTCTCTATGAGATCTGAAAAAATTGCCTGCATACACCTTTGAAATGTAGCTGGGGCATTACATAATCCAAATGACATCTTTCTGTAGGAAAAGACACCAAAAGGACATGTGAAGGTCGTCTTCTCTTGGTCTTTTGGATCTACCACAATTTGGTTGCATCCAGAGTATCCATCTAGAAACAATAAAAAGCATGACCTGCCAATCTCTCCAGCATCTGGTCCATGAAAGGAAGAGGAAAATGATCCTTCCTGGTGGCTTTATTCAATTTCCTGTAATCAATGCACATTTGCCATCCAATA